AAGTTAAAAAAGATGTACCAAAAGGACTGCAGCAGGGAAAAAGATGGAAGCTCAGGGTCCTCCCCCCACCCTCCCCCCGACTGCTGTTCCATGTTTTTCCGAGGTTTATTTCAGGCCATGGAAGCGTGCCATGGAAATGTGCATTAGCTGGCTCTGAAGCTCCTTAATACCTGCTTGAAATGACTCAGGGTAATTTAGAGCAGATTGGAGGCACCAGGGTGCAAGAAATGCTTAGGAGGAGGTGGGATGAGGAGCAGGGAATTCGATGTGGGTAAGGAAAAGAGGGAAAGTGGGGACCTTTTCAAGCAGAGAGGAGGACACAGAGGTGTGATGGCATTCACTGTGTTCAGTTGCAGCTGCCAACTCTAGAGCTACTTAAAATGTAATACAAGGGAAGTTCCCAGCATGAAGTAATACAGGGGTGTCTAAAGAAGTGGTTCTGTGAGCAGAATCCCTGAATAGTTTGGGTGGGAAGGGACCTTAAAGCTCATCCTGTTCCATCCCCTTCCAGGGGCAGGGACATCTTCCACTATCCCAGGTTGTTCCAAGCCCCATCCAACCTGGCCTTGGACACTTCCAGGGATCCAGGGGCAGCCACAGCTTCTCTGGGCAACCTGTGCCGGGGCCTCCCCACCCTCACAGGGAAGAATTTCTTCCTAAAGGATGAACAGAAGGGGCAGGATCAGAACTGCAGCTGGTTTTTAGTTGGCTTTGTGTTGCACCTGCACCCTTCCATACAGCAGGATTAGTATTTTCAGACCTCCCCACCCAGCTAAAAGTCAGTGTGGAGTTTCAAAGTCTTGAGCAGGACTGGCACTGTGCACTGAGTCTGTTTCTTTGGGAAAACAGGTTGAGAAGCCGGTAGGAGTAGAAGGCGCCTCCTTGCCAGGAAGGAGTCAGGCAGCCTTCTCTGCAACTTCATTTCTTCTTTAAACTATTACTCATCATAGCTTGTAGACTCTGTCCTTTAGGATCCACTCCTGATGTGGAAATTTCATGTGTGTTCTTGAATACTGTGTATGAGAAAGCACAAGCCCAGAGAGCAGCAGAGGTGGGAAATAAGGGCATTTGAACATGGCATTTTTTTTTCTGTTGGGATATACAGAAGGCAGCGGAGCAGTGGATTTTTCACTTGGTAGAAGGGAAGCTGAGAACTCCCCTTTAATACTGATCTCCTATTAGAGTAAGAAGGGTAAGCACACAGAGAAGGGGATTAAATCTGAAGGTGTCTTCGTCAATATAATCTGTAATAGCCTCGATAGTGCTTTCTGAAAGAGAGACTTGCCAGACCTGCTGCTGATCCTGACAGCTTGTTTTCTTTAGGGAGCTGGGAGAAGAATTGGTCTCTTCAGTTGTGTCCTGAAGTGCACGTTCTCCGCTGGTATTTCTCCCTCAGTGAGGTCCTGAAGGGAATTATTGTCTCCCCGTTTCCTCCTGCAGAGCTCCAGGTAGATCTCAGGGTGGAACACAAAACCCCTGAGCCAGAGTGGGAGCAGATGTGTGTGGTAGGACACACGTGGGTGTGTTCAATGATTCGGATGTTAATTTTGTCTTTATACTGTGCGATGCAGTCATAGTCTATTTTTTTTAATTTTTTCTTTTTTTTTTGGCCTGAAAAAATATGAAAGTATTGTTTCTTAGAGCCTTTGAACCTGCAGAACCTATTCCTGCCCTTCGGAACAGCACGTTCCCTGCAAGGGAAATTGGATTTTGTATTGTTTATCAAAGGGTAGACCCGTGCCCCCGCCTTACCCCTCGCTGCTTTTTCATCTCAGGATAAAAGTTAGTTTCTCCTTGCATTCTTTACACATGTGTAAATGACTGTTAAAAAGTGCAGAGAGATGGAAAAAGCGTTTGGTTTTTTTTTTTTTTCCGCCGTTTTGAAGTGCTTATGTTTTATTAAAGCTGAGATTCCCGGAGCTTTGTGGCCAGAAACGCACCACCCTCTCTGCTCCTGGAGATAAAACCCTGTTTCTCCTTGTGAAAAACTCTATAATTTCCCCAAAGTTGTCAAGTTTTATGTGGTTTGGGGTGGGATTTGATTTCCATAGATATGAATGCCTTTCATGGAGCCCCTATAATATAAAATTAAAGCGCATAAACAGAGGATTGAACGTGTTTGACGTGGTTTTGTTGTGAGAAGATGCTGGCACCATTACTTGTTGGGTTTTTTTAATCCCCTTTATTTCACTATAGCTTTATTTTTTCCCTTTTGCTTCAGTCACCATCTGTTACATGTTATGTTTGGTACTTGTCGCTGTTTTTAACATAGATGCTGTGACTTAACAACGTTTAACCACCGATAACACTTAAGACACATATTTTAAGATAGAGTAAGAGGCATTTGTGCCCTTCACGCAAACCCTCCAGGTTGGATCTGAGTATTATTTTGTAACAAACTCCAAGCCATGAGGGGTGTTTTATTATCTGCAGATCAGCTTCCCACAAGCTCAAAGCACATTTGGGGGACACACAGCACTCTGTGGCCTGGACCGAGCTCCGTGGGGTTACCCTCACGGCGGTTTTGGGGGACACACAGGGCTTTGTGGCCAGATTGGGCTCCGTGGGGGCACCTTTACGGGGTTTTGGAGAACACGCAGGGCTGCGCGGCCACAGGGCCGGGCTGTGGCCGCCTCTTCGAGGCGGCATCGAGCACTGCCAACATGGCGGCTCCTCCCTGAGGGGCCTGGGGTGTGAGGGACAGCGCGCCTTTTAGGCGGGAAAAGCGCCTCGGCGCGGCGCGCGTGCGCAGTGGCGAGAGCCGAGCCAGGGGAGCTTCGGCTCTTCTCGGCAGGTTCCGTAGGCGGGAGTCGCCCCGCCCTGAGGCCTTCGGCAATCTCCGCCCTTCCTTCGGGTATCTCCGCCCCCACTTCGGCAGTCTCCACCCCTCCTTCGGTAATCTCCGCCCCCGCTTCGGCTACCTCCGCCCTCCCTTCGTTAAGTTCCGCCACCACTTCGGCAACTTCCGCCGTTCGGTCGGAAATGGCCGAAGACGTGCGAGACCCAGCGGTTTAAGGGGAGAAGACCGGCCGGCTTTTCGGAACAAACCAACTGTGTCCGGCCCGGAGGGGGGGGAGCAGGGGAGGGCGGACGGAGCGGGAAGACAAGGCAGCGGCTATGGCTCCCCCCCCAGCCCCTCGCGGCTCCGCCGGGAGGGCGAAGTGAGGGCGCCGAGAGGTAGGGGCGGACCGTACCGCGGACGGGGAGAGGGGGAAGGAGGGGGGAGAGCGGTAACACCACCCCCCCGGCACCCCCCCGCGGCAGCCCGTGGGGCCGGGTGGGTGCGGGAGTGGTACAGTCCGGGGGAAGCCCCCTGAGA